GTTTCAGTTTTGTTTTTGCATGTGGGAGGGTATTCTGTTTGTACTAATTGTTTGGATACACTATATTTTTAATATGCTAGTTGTGATAATTTCATGCCAAGTAAAAATGTCCATACTCATATTTTATGTTCCTAAAGTAACAGAATGACTTTCAATCTAGAAAAGACAAAAGAAATGTTAATGTAGTGTTTTTTTCAATTTTCCCGAAAATTTCCGTTTTTTCCCGGGGAAAAAAACGGGTTTCTTTCCGAGCTTCAAAATTTCCGGAAATTTTACATCTCTAGCTGGCATGGCTGTTCTTGAAAAAAGAGCCGTTTCTGTCAGAGCTCTCTCAGCCCCACCTGCCTCACAGGGTGTCTGTTGTGGGGAGGGGAAGGGGAAGGAGTTTGTAAGCCGCTCTGGGACTCCTTCGAGTAGCGAAGGGCGGGGGATAAATCCAATCTCTTCTTCTTCTTGCCGCCTTCTCCCTCGTCTTCCTTAGAGCTTGGCCACCCGACTGAAGGAGAACATGGAGAAGCTGACGGAAGAACGAGACCAGCGGACGGCCGCTGAAAACCGGGAGAAGGAGCAGAACAAGCGGCTGCAGCGCCAGCTGCGGGACACGAAGGAGGAGACGGCCGAGCTGGCCAAGAAGGAAGCCGAGGCCAGCCGCAAAAAACACGAACTGGTAAGGAGAGGGGGGGTGATCAGGGTGGGGGGCAGAGGTCCTTCCAAGGCCGCTGTGCCGTCAAGTGTCTGCCTGTGGGAATTGTGACTCCAGACTCGGGCTGTTCTTTAAGGAATTTTTCCGTGTGGCATCTTCAGTGCCGCCACATTCCCCCATTCCCCACTCCCACCCAAAGGCAAGGTGACTCATGCTTAGTACGTACAAGAAGCGTACACACACACAAACACACACAAACAGCTCCACAGCTCAAAAAACCTCGCTTCCATGTGGAAATTCTTTCAGCGTCCTCCTAAATTCATATAGATGCTTTGCCATCATGGGGAACCTCCCCATTTTTCTGTAGATTCTCTTTCATCAAAGTTTGGAGATAGGCACCCGTTCGGTCGATGCACACTTGCTCCCGGCTCTGCGAAGACTGTGTTCATATCTTATAGGGGTTTTTCAAATCTCCCTCCAGTTGTTCCATCTGAATGAGACTGACCGATTTTGCCACAAGTCCTGGACAAGGACCACAAACTGCGTGCAAACGTACATAAGTCCCAAAGACTCGATTCTCCCCTCCTTTATTCTAGTCGAATCCAAATTCTCCCTGCCTTCACAGTACAACTGTGACAGGCCTACTAATCCTCCTTTTGGGGTCTGCTTTTGTCTCTCTCATCATGCCCCCTCCCCCAATGTGAAGCAGGCTGGGCGTCCTTTACAAAATGGCCTCTGGTATGCGTATGCAACTTATATTTCCTTTGTCAGTTTCACAGTTGATTGATTAATCATCCTACGGCCTTGTGTGCAGAATAGCCAGGAGGTATTACGATAATCTGGCAGTCAGAAGTTCTAGCTCTTTAGCATTATGCACCACTAGGTGGTGCTGGAGAAGACTCTTGAGAGTCCCTTGGACTGCAAGAAGATCAAATCAGTCAATCCTAAAAGAAATCAACCCTGACTGTTCCCTGGAAGGCCAGATAATGAAACTGAAGCTCAAATACTTTGGCCACCCAATGAGAAGGGAGCACTCACTGGAGAAGACCCTGATGCTGGGAAAGATTGAAGGTCAAGGAAGACGGGGAAGGCAAAGGATGAGATGGTTGGACAGTGTCATCGATGCAACGAACATGAAATTGAGCAAACTTCAGAGGATGGCGGAAGACAGGAGAGCCTGGCGGGAGATGATCCATGGGGTCGCGAAGAGTCGGACTCGACTGTGCAACTGAACAACAACAACAACAAGGCAGTGTGAGCCAGACTTGTTTTTGAGGCAAGAGACGTTTCAGAGGTGGTTTGCCATTGCCCGCCTCTGCACCACGCCCCTGATATTCCTTGGAGGTCACCCTTCCAAACACTAGCCATGGCTGACCCTGCTTAGCTTCCAAGATCTGATGAGATTGGGCTAGCCTGGGCTATACAGGTCACTTCCCCCCCCCAACCCCCCCCCCCCAGTTTTAAAAACAGAGTAGGGTTGGTGGAAGTGGGATGTCACAAGGTCGGCTAGTCAGCCCCTTGCACAGCCAGCTGAACCAGCTTTCTCCGAGCTTAGCTCACCTGAACCCATGGACACCTGAAGCAGCCTTCTGCTGAATCAGACCAGTGTCCCATCAAGGTCAGTGTTGCCTACGTAGACTGGCAGCAGCTCTCCAGTGTCTCAAGCAGAGGACTTTTACATCACCCAGTGCCCGGTCCTTTTTAAAATGGAGAAGCCGAGGATTGAACCTGGGACCTTCTGCCCGCCCAGCGGAGGCTCTGCCACTGAGCCACAGTAAGAAAGAAAATTTGCTTACACGGACTACAGAGGTGGCCCCGCTGCTCCAGTTGTGTTTCGGCTGTACTTACCCCCAAACGTCAGATATGTCAGGAAAAAATCTGTTGAGAAAGTTCCTCCCTGCCACAAGCTGGAATGCAGCAATCCAGGGGACTTTGGCCTGCCACTTCAGGCACGAGGGCGTCAGTGATGCAGGCTCCCGCACAGAAAGGGGTGCCTTCAGCAAATGGCACTGCTTCCTGCAAAGCAGATCGTCCCAGCTGCCAAGGTTTTCCTTTTTAGGGAGTAGATAAAGGGAGTCAGGTTGGTATAACATGTCTGGGAGGCAGGAGAAGTCTGGCCTGGTACCAGAAACCCTGGCCTGTAAGACGACTCTGCAGGAAGAGTGGTGCAGCTGGCTGGGGGAACCAGAGAGGCTAGCAATTTCCGTGGACCAGGCCAGGTGGAAGATCTGTGTCCTGGATCTGAGGCCGTGGAATATGACCCAGGCAAGGCAGCAGACACTGAAGCGTACCCAAGATGCCAGCTTGTGAGGGGTCTTTAGAGCATCACTTTCACCCCTTCTCACGGGAGACCCTCTCCACATCTCGCACAGCCGTTGTTTGTGGCTAAGCATTCTGTCCCATGTTTTAAGGTGCTGGCAGGGCCTCACCGTTGGGCTTCGCCACTGCATGGCATGAATGGCGCATACATTCTGGGATGCATCCCACGCTATCTGGCCGCGTGTAGCAGTAGACAAGTCAGCAGAGAAGCGGTCAGATTCATTCATGGGAGTTCGGCCGTGACTATTGCTAGACTTCCGAGGAACCGTCTCCCACACAACCCAGTTTGAAAACCCCTGTAGGGTAGTGGAGTCTTGGGAGTGCAAAGGCCTCCGGAGGGGCTGGCAGAACAGGGTGCCCCCAGGGGGGCTGAAGGCTCGCATGGGATAGAGCAGGTAGAGAAAGAAGTACTTTTCTCCCTTTCTCACAATGCAAGAACTCGTGGGCACTCCATGAAATTGCTGAGCAGTTGGGCTAGAACAGATAAAAGGAAGTACTTCTTCACCCAAAGAGTCATTAACACATGGAATTCACTGCCACAGGAGGTAGTGGCGGCTACAAGCATGGACGGCTTCAAGAGGGAATTGGATAAGCATATGGAGCAGAAGTCCATTAGTGGCTATTAGCCACAAGGTCTAGATAGGAAGGAGCTGCGGTGGCTCAAGTGGTTAAGACGTTGAACTGCAAGCTATGGAAGATCGGTAGTTCAGCGGTTTGAGACCCGAGTGTGCCGCATGACGGAGTGATCTCCCGTCTCTAGTTCCAGCTGCTAGCAGCTCGAAAGCAAGAAATTGCAAGTAGATAAATAGGTACCACATCAGTGGGAAGGTAACAGCATTCCGTGCCCCTTGGTGTTTAGTCATGCCCGCCACATGACCACGGAAATGTCTTCGGACAGCGCTGGCTCTTTGGCTTTGAAATGGAGATGAGCACCGCAACTCTAGAGTCGGATTCGACTGGCTTTCGAGCAAGGGAACCTTACCTTACCTTACCTAGATAGGAACTCTGGGTCTGGGGCAAGTGATGCTCTGTATTCTTGGTGCTTGGGGGTGGGGAGGTTCTAGTGTCCTGGCCCCACTGCTGGACCTCCGGATGGAACCTGGTATTTTTGGCCCCTGTGTGACACAGAGTGTTGGACTAGATGGGCCATTGGCCTGATTCAACATGGGCTTCTCTTATGTTCTTATGTCTTCGTGGCTGAGGTCAGCCTCTGCAGGGCAGTCCCTGGACCCCAATCGGAGCCTTCCTTTTTTTCGCCTAGGAGATGGACTTGGAGAGCTTAGAAGCGGCCAACCAGAGCCTGCAGTCAGACCTGAAGCTGGCCTTCAAGCGGATCGGGGACCTGCAGGCTGCAATCGAGGATGAGATGGAAAGCGATGACAACGAGGATCTGATCAACAGGTGAGCAGGAACGGGGGGGGGCTTGGGGGGGAGTACACCTCCAAGAAAGGAACGTGCTCTGCCCCATCAGTTCTCTTCCCCAGGCCCCAAACCCATGAGAGCCGTCAGGCTGGACTGTGGCCTTTCTTGGCCAGCATTTGGCTTCTGACAGCACCGAACCAGACACTGTCCACATGAGGGCAGGCATCCTCACCCAGTACTCGGAGGTGGACTGCCTCTGGACGTGGAGGTTCGGTGTCATCTGCTGGCTAATAGCTGTGGACAGGCTTGTCCTCTTCGCAAAAGTGTCTTAGGCAGGCGGCTCTTGCCATCTTCTTGTCTCACGCTACGCTTCGCTAGAGCTGAAAGTGGGTGTCTACACCCCCGCCTCAGTCCATCCAGCCCTTATCTTGACTATCAGGATAATCCCTAAGAGTCGCTGGAGAAGATTTCCTTCCACTCCACCCGCACGCCCGGTTTCTGTGACGCCTTCATTCCACCTGGCTGGATTTTTCTCCCCCCATTCCCCGTTTTGTTGGTTCATTTTGCTTTTTGTTCGTTTTCTCCTCCTCCCCCGTTCCCCAGTTTGCAGGACATGGTGACAAAGTACCAGAAGCGCAGGAATAAGCTGTGAGGATGAGTTTGTTTCCCCCTGGGTTTCCAGAAACTCGTTGCTGCCCCTAACCTCAAGCATGCCACGGGGGGCTTGGGCCGTGTTGCCCCCCCTGTAGTTGCACGCCCCTTCTGCATGAGCATCAGCTTGACACACTTAACTGCTTGCTGTGTCCCAGCCCAGCTCATTGCTGGGGGGGGGGGGGGGGGGAGGAAGACGGGTGCACGAGAGAGCAGCACGGGGCCTCGTTTGGTCTTTGGTGAAGAGCAGCATTAAGGGCGTTTGCAGGGATGAAGGGCAGCCACCCTGTAGCCAGAACTTTTTTGTTGGGGGGGTGTGTGGAATTGGACCTGCTGGCGAGGGGTGGGGAGCAGTGTTCCCTCTAAGCTGAGTTAGTGTGAGCCAGCTCACAGTTTTTTAGCCTCCGGCTCTCACATTTTTGTCTTAGCTCAGGAAGAGAGAGAGAGGAAGAGATTGGATTTATACCCCATGGCCCTTCACTACCCAAAGGTGTCTCAGAGCGGCTCACAAACTCCTTCCCCTCCCCACAACAGACACCCTGTGAGGCAGGTGGGGCTGAGAGAGCTCTGACAGAAACGGCTCTTTTTCAAGGACAGCTCTTATCAGAACTACGGCTTGCCCAAGGTCATCCAGCCAGGTGCAAGTGGAGGAGTGGGGAATCAAATGCTGCTCTCCCAAATTCGAGTCTGCACACTTAACCACAACACCAAACTGGCTCTCACACCAAACTGGCTCTGAAGGAGGGCTCCAGAGCAAACTAATTGATGCAGTAGCCAAATCGTTTGCTCACAACCTTAATGCCAGGAGCTCACAAAGTAGGATTTCTGCTCACGAGACTCCACAGCTTAGAGGGAGCATTGGCAGGGAGTAAATTGACCGTTGCCACTGGCAGCTCCATCCGCCTGGTGGCTCACTCCGGAGCACTCCGATGGCAGCCTGAGCCGTGGGGAGACTTGAGCTCAAGTCCCCCTGTGGCTCAGGCTCCCACTGTAGGGTAGGGAGAGGGGTGACTGCTGCATGGCCTCCCCGGGTCTTCCTCCTTCCATCGTGGGCTTCTCACAGTTTGAGAAGCCAGCTACAGAAGCAGGAAGACCCGTCGAGGTCGCACCGAGGCCACCCCTCTCCTTCCCCTCCTGCTCGGCCGCAGCCAGAAGCCAGAAGACCCAGGGATGCCACATGGTGACCACCGCCAAGTGGGGGGTGGGGAGGCACGGTGGCCCCACCGGGTCTTCCCACTTCACCGACGGCTTCTCAAACTTTGAGGAGCCAACTGTGGAAGCAGGAAGACCCGGCGAGGCTGCCCCTCTCCGCGCCTGCCGGGGCTGGGCATTTTTGTGGGGGGCATTGCCCTTGTTGCACACACACACACAGACACACTATGGCTACGGGTCTGAATGGCAGGGAAGCCGAAGGGACCCAACGACTTTGTCCTTCCTAGGGGGTCAGACCCAGGGGAGCAACGGCTGCCCTTGTGGCAGGCATGTAGTTGGCGTTTGACTCAGACATGCTCATTTCCCGAGGACCTCTTAGCCAGCCTCTGCTGGGGTAAAGAGGAAAGCACAACCTAAAGGGGGGCACGTTTTTTGCCTGGTTACTTTGGGGCTCCTCAGTCGTATAATGGGGCGGGGGGCCTAAACGTCTGCTGTTCGTTGGGAAGCGGCAACTGCATGGAAGTCCTGCCCAGTGTGACAAATGTCCAACTAATTATGTAACGTGTGTGCGCGGATGCAGCATATGTTAGGAAGAACTTCCTGACAGAAAAGCCTGTTTGGAGTAGTGGTTAAGTGCGGGGACTCTAATCTGGGAGCACCGGGTTTGATTCCCCACTCCTCCACCTGCACCTGGCTGGATGACCTTGGGCAAGCCGTAGTTCCAATAAGAGCTGTTGTTGAAAAAGAGCAGTTTCTGTCAGAGCTCTCTTAGCCCCACCTGCCTCACAGGGTGTCTCTTGTGGGGAGAGGAAGGGGAAGGAGTTTGTAAGCCGCTCTGAGACTCCTTTGGGTAGTGAACGGTGGGGTATAAATCCAATCTCTTCTCCTTCTTCTTCACCAGTGGAACGGCTTCCTCGGGAGGTGGTGGGCTCTCCTTCTTTAGGGTTTTTAAGCAGAGGCTGGATGGCAGTCTGACAGCAATGCTGACTCTGTAAATTGAGGCAGATTGTGAGAGAGAGAGCAGGAAGGGAAGAGCCAGCGCTCAGCTCTCATGGCCCCTTCTTATACGCCCAGGGTAGTGCCAATCGCGACTTGGGGGTGAGGAAGGAATTTTCCTCTAGGCAAGATCGACCCAGGGATCCTGAAGAGTTTTTGCCTTCCTCTGGGCATCGAGCAGGAGTCAGTATGTGTGTGTGTGTGGGGGGGGGGGAAGGTAGCTGTGAATTCCCTGGGTTGGGGTCCCTGCCAGCTTTACGTCTCTATGTTCTAAAGCGTTGGAAAACCCCTCAAGTTGTAAAAGTACACAGACCTGGGAGCCGGTCTTGGCTGCAGCTACCTTCAGGTGCAAAGCCAGATTTTGCAGCTGGATAACGGGTGAACAGTGATAGGGATTTTGGGGCACGGGCATCATTTTTTGGGTGCTTAAATGGGGGTACCCCTTTGGATCTCCACCCCACAGCCCAGCACTGGGCATCCCTTTGTTCTCAGCCCCTGGGGTGGTCTTGCGGCAGGGAGTCTTGGGCAGCCCTCTGGGATGAATTTGGCGGCGCCTCTTTTTCTTGAGCCACGGAGGGGCCTGGCTGGGCTGTGGCGGGATCCGTGTCGGCTAATGATAAATGTAATTGTGTGTAGCAGTGATAGAGGGCCGCTAGAGCCTTGTTGTCACACACAATTAATGTCCCCCACAGTTCAGTCTGCGTCTGTTCGTTCCCTGGTGATTTGGATCCCAGTTAACTAATGGCACGCTAGCCTGGACATAAATTGCCTTTGACGTGAGGTTTAATTCCGACAATTTAAAATCTCAGCTGCCCCCGAGTTTGTTTACGGGCCTTCTTGGCTTTTTTTCAAGGCAAAAAATAACAAACTGCCTCCCAGCATTTATTCCTGGAGAGGAAGATGTGTTCAGCTGATCAAGAGGAGCTTGTTGCTTTGAATTCAGCAAGAGGGGTTTGGGTTTCGGGGGAAACCGCCAGTCCGCCGCACCCTCCTCAAACAGGGAGTAAACCCCCAGCGCAACGAAGAGCACGTTCGTTTAAGATCGCATTAGGCGCTTCCTGCAAAGTTTCCTCGGGGTCTGTGGAGGCGATTCCACTTAGCACTGCAGGAAGCCGCGAGGAGAGTTATAGAGCCTGCTAAGGCGGGAAGAGAAACAACACTCCGATTTACTTATAGATACAGTTGTTATTGCTGTAATCCTAATGAAAGTGGTAAACAGCACCGTTATTAGAGGAGAGATTTATACGAGCACGGTTTCCCCCATGCAGGAATAGATTCCCCAGCACCACCACGCATACAGCACCTTTGCGCTCAAGGCAATCAATACAGTTATGAACGCCACTTATAAATTAGAGGATTTAAACCGGATGGGGCCGCTGCATACGCCCGCGCATAAATCAGGCCACACTCCTTGCTCGTGCGCGCAGGGAGGCTCGTTTGCGCCGGGCTGTAAATTCTCCACCCCAGCCAAGTTGCCACTGCCATGCCGCCTGCTAAACTCCAGTTTACTCGGGATGGCAGCATCCCTCTTCCCGGCCGTCGCCTTAATTTGATGCTCAGCAAGAGGAGGGCCGTAAAAACGGAGCTGGCCGCGCTCCCTTCCTTCCCCTCACAGCCAAGTGGCGCTGAAATATCCCCTTCTCTCCAGCGGCTGCAATGCCTTCTCTTCCTTTTATTATCCATTCTGGGCTATAATTCTGGGTTTCTCTCCTGGCAATACAGAGAGGGAAAG